GATAAACTACAGCAATTAGTCCTGGGCTGGAAGGGTAAAACCATGGCCGAGATTGTTCAGGCTTGTGTAGATTTATGGGAACAACAGCAGGCAGAAAAGGAAAAAAGAAAAGAACTTAAAACTAGCCTTATGGCTTTGCAAATCCAAGACTTAGAACAAAAACAGTGTACTGGTTCTCGCCCGTACGTCCAACCTCGCAAAAAACTTTTATCATGGGGCCCCAGCGTCCGATCAAACCCCTCATTCACAAGTTAACTCAAGATCAAATGTACCGCCTTTTTTTTTTTCCAACGTGGACCGTGTCCTGACGATGTTTGTAATTACTGTAAGCAAAAGGGACACAGGAAAACTAATTGCCCAAACCAGCCCCAGCGTAATGGCCCATCTGTTTCCTGTCCCTCAAGCCCTACTCAATGACGGTTCAGCACGGTCTCTGTGTCTCCAGAATGTACTGCACTGCATTCTCTCATCAAAACCTCTAAAGATGCCAGTGTAACTGTGACTGTTAATGACAAATCTCATAGTTTCCTCGTAGATACAGGGGCCTCTATGTCTACTATAAAATATGAAGAAGCTGGAAGACTAATACCCACCAATGAAACAGTCAATGCAAGTGTAGGGGGACAAATCATTCCGCGCATAAATATGCTAGTCCAGCTACAGTCAAAATTGGGCCATTGTCTGCTGAACATGCTTTCTTGTTAAGTCCTACTACTCCAGTAAATCTATTAGGAAGACATTTATTGTATAAATTGGGCGCCACAATCTACTGTTCCCCTGAGGGTGTGTATTTAGATCTGCCCTCTGATCAGACCCAAAATTTAATGCTCTTGTTCTCTACAGACCCTGAGAATAACCAAATAGATGGTGACTCTTCCAAATCTCCATCTCTTTCGGATGTTCCAGAGTCCTTGAGGGCTTCCCACCTCAGTGAAAAAGGGAAGCTCTTGAACATTGAGCCAGTTCAATTGACTTATAATACACGCAAACCTTTTCCTGCTGTAGATCAGTATCCCCTTTCCCGAGAAGCTGAGGAAGGTATTGCCCCGGTACAGTCATAGATGCACTGTTGCAACAGGGTGTTTTAATTTCAATTCGCTCTCCCTGTAACACTCCTATCCTACCTGTAAAGAAACCTGGGAAATTAGACAAGCACGGAAATTGCTTTGTACAAGATTTAAGAGAAATTAATCAATTTGTTATTCCTTCTCATCCTGTTGTGCCAAACCCTTCTACTATCCTCAGCATGATTCCTGCCTCTGCTGCTTTCTTTTCTGTTGTTGATTTATGTTCTGCTTTTTTCTCTATCCCAATACACCCTAACTCCCAACTTCTGTTTGTGTTCGCTTACAAAGGAAGGCAATATACATGGACACGATTGCCTCAAGGGTTTACTGAAAGCCCTTCTCAAGCGCTAAAGCAAGATTTAGATACTATCACGTTACCTTGTAACTCAGTACTCATTCAGTATATTGATGATCTTATGATTGCTTCAGAAACTGAAATCGCCTGTGTTATAGATACAGTTCACCTTCTAAAATGTTTAGCCCAACAAGGTCATAAAGCTTGCAAAGCCAAGTTGCAGTTTTGCCAGCCAAAAGTTATATATTTGGGGCACGAAATCTCCAAGGGGCATAGACATTTAACCACAGATCGCATTTCTGCTGTTCTTTCTCTCCCCAAACCTACTACCAAGAAACAACTCAGAGGGTTTCTAGGCTCTGCTTCATATTGTCGACAATGGATACCCAACTTTTCCTTACTGGCAAAACCCTTAAACGAGCTTACTAGAGACGACTCTGCTGATAACCCTCTCCCGTGGGAGACCGTGGACCGAATACCACGAACAGGCATTTGTTGATTTAAAGGCAGCCCTAGCCTCTGCACCAGCATTGGGACGCCCTGACTACGATAAGCCCTTTACTTTGTACTGTCATGAAAGAGAAGGTGTTGCTTCTGGAGTTCTCACTCAACCTTTTGGTTCTTTTCACAAACCAATTGCTTATTTTTCTTCCTTGCTTGATCCTGTTGCACAAGGATTTCCACCCTGCCTGCGTGCTGTAGCTGCTGTTGCATTGCTTTTGGACAAGTCAGCAGCTATAGTGTTAGGATCTCCCCTTACCCTTGCTGTTCCCCATGCTGTATGTGCCTTGTTAAACC